GATCAATAAGAAGAGCTGGTGCGTATAAAATATGGTAGCTACACTTGCTAGAGTCCGATGATGTAGCGATTACTAAATCATTGAGAATATCCTTCCAGCTACAATCAAGAATTCGATACAAGGCTCTTATAAAAGATAGGCAGATTTGAAAGAATACTTTTTACGCCTTAACATCAGTTGTTTTTATATCTTCTTGTGAAGCATTTATGTCAATCACAGCTCTTAAAGGTTTTTAGCTGTTAATACATTCATGAATTCTGAGTAGGCCATATACTTCTGAAATATCATCTGCAACAGAAAATTTGGGAGCATTATCACCATCTTGGTCGATTTTGATAACTAATTTATCTTTTACCTCACTTCGGTCATAAGCGTTATATAAGCTAGAGCCTTTTTCGTTCAGAAAGAGAAATGAATAAATTGGAAGACATTCCAATGATCCTTTATCATTCGACATATCTCTAGATGGTGATAAGGCAATTTTTCGGATTTCACTTATCAAATTCTTGGGAGAAAAATTATCATTGAACTTTTCCTGCCTTAAAGTATATGTCACATTAATAGGTGAGTCCCATCTCTCTTGTACAAATGGAGTCTTGATAATGCTGGTTGAGACGCAGGTAGCTTCTTCATTATCTGACTCATAATTAGACTCGCAATTATTATAATTATCTGACCCTAAGTTGGATCCATTATCAGTATAACTGCTAGAGTCACTTAAGTATTCATCGGACTCACCAACATCGTAGCGGCGAGCGTTAGGCCAGATCCAATGCGATCAGTTTGGTTGAAAATAGTTGAGATATATATGTTGTCAGTTTGAAAAAATTTATATAATTTTATATAAATCAGAAATGTTTAATTATTTTTTTTATTCATCGAAAAAAAAAGCAATAGCAAACTTAGATGGTAAAACACGAAAAAAAGCCAAATAAATTATAGCATCAAAGTGTAGTCTACTTCAGAAATTTTATATAAAGAATTGGAAGAAGACTACACTTTCTAGGTATATACTCGGTATGATATAACCTTTGCGTAATATAGAGGTATACCAAAAAGAGATACGAAGTTTGCATCTCCAATTCTCTAATCAACTGATCCATTAACCCAAATCCCAAATATCACTCAAATATTTCTCAAATATATCTGATGCATTTTTTTCAATGGATGTAAAAGAGATGTATAGCAGATTAGTAAAAAAAACATAAATAATCATATTCTTAATAGGTAATACTTAGGGTAGTCTTCTTCAGAATTATATTATATAAAATTGGAAGACGACTACCTTAATACGTATGTGCTCAGGTATGGGTACTTTCATTAGCGCATTTATTTTTTTCAGTGAAGGCTTCTCCATAATTATTATATAAAATATTAGGAGAAGCCTTCATCTTTCTAGATATGTACTCAGGTATGATATAAATGGGCTGGTTATGATAATACATAACGCATCTCCAACCTCAGATGCAAAATTAGGATATATGTACTGGCAACAAATAGGCAATAGTTGTTGCAAAATAGAGTACTTATTGGCAATCAAATGGGACGGCCATAGTACTGACTTCGATCTCTCAAATCATGTACCTAAAAATGGAAGAAGGCTTCATTTTTCTAGGTATGTGTTCAGCTACAATATAGTCTTTGTGTAAGGCTTATTCGCTTAATATCGGCCAACGCTATTCTATAATTTCGGCTGGAACTTTAGGCGTAATAATTCGGCATTTAAGCTGGTATATAAGTAGACTAAAACTGGCGAATAAATGGAACCTCTCAGGCATTCAGCCAGTTCCCTACCAGTTTTTTAACAGTTTTATGCCAGTTCCATGACAGTTCCAGAAGAGTTCCATGATACTACCAGGGCATTATCACAACACTATCATGACACTAAATTGGATCCCCAAAACACATGCCCAAAAAATCAGATAGAGCTATACTATAAAGCTAGCAAAAATTAATCACAAATGTACTGCGTCACCAATCACCTCTTTTTTTACCACTTCAAGTATTTTAAAAGGCAACTAAATAGACATGTATATCATTCATATTTACTGACCAATAAGTCATAGATAGGAAAAGCACGCCTCATCTTTAGGACATTTTAATTAATAGATTACAATGTTATAGGACATATTAATTAATAGATTATAACGTTCTAGAACATATTAATCTAGTGCAAGCAGTTTGTCTTAAGACATATTAATATATTAATATATTAATATGTCTTAGAACAAACCGCTTATAATAATAATCATATAATGAATATAACAAATAGTTTAGTATAACTTTACTAAATTTTTATCATTATAACGAATCGTATTCTCTAAAAATTAAAATTTGCTATAGAAAGCTTTAACCATATTAAAATATTTGTAGAAAATGCTTGTATATAATTTGCAAATCAAATTAAATATTTGAAGATTAATTTGTATTTAATCAAATAAAACTTCTTTAATTTGAATTTGATCAAATCAAATCAAAGATTAATTCATGTTTGATCAAATAATTTTTTCTTTGATTTGAATTTGATTGAATCAAATCAATTATTAATATGAATTTATATTTGATTTGATTTTCAAATTGAATATTCAAATATCAAATTGAATTGTGAAACTCTAGTATTAAACCTAAAATTAATTAGTGTTAAATTGGTAGTGATTAATTCATTAATTCAATTTATTTAATTTCTGTAATAGAAATTTGAAATTGCAATTGCAAAAATATAAAATCTGCATAAATTTTAAAATTGTGAAAATTTCAATTGCGAAAACTATAAATTTTGAAATTGCTAAAAAATTAGATCATTTTTTTGATTGTTGCATAAAAATTAGTTACTTTGCTAACTTATTAGACCAATTAAATGCTAACATTTTTCAATAAAATTTTATATAAGGAAAGTTTTATTGTATTTTTGTTTCTTTTATGATTCAATATTTATATTAACAATTTTTAAATCTTTTCTAAATAATAAATTCCAAAAATGCCTATTACAATTGAATGGTCAATACTTGATCGATTTAAGAAAGGAAAGGAATGATGATTATTGAAAAAAATTTGGAAGATTGAAGTTACCTTTTTGGAATAAAATTGCAGCTCAGATTCAGGAAAGATTCACGACAACATTTAATGAATTGCAGGTAAAGGAAAAATTTAAAGGAATGATCAGGATTGTAAAGTAAGTAACTCACTAGTAAACAAAAACAAAAATATTTATATTAATTGTATTTTACAATAATAATTTAATAATTTTAATTCTTTAGTTGTTTGAATTATATACTGATGGAAACGTAAAAGAAAAGTGAATGCATGTTGGAGAAGTTTTGGAGAATAATTCAAAATCCCATTTTGTGAGAGACCAGATTGAAATAATAAAACTTTCCAATTGATATTAATTGAAGAAAAATCATTATTAAAATTTATTATTTATGTTTAGCATCTTGAGTTCAAGAAAGGAAGCATTTTAGAATGGCCGCTAGAAATCAAGTAAGAAATTTATTTAGTTTAATTTCAATATTTATTTTAATTTAAATTTATATTTATATTTTTTAGAATTATCAACTCCTCTTTCTGACAAATCTGAAACCAATAACTCTCAATAATCTGCTTTTTCTAACTATTTTCACTCTTTTTTCTATCTTCATAATTTTTTACAACTAGTTAATCTTTCATTTATCTATTCATTATCTTTGCTTATTCCTTTTCACTCGGGTTTTTTTTATAAATATTTTTTTGAATTCCGTTAAAAAAACTGAAAGAAGCTTGCTACTTCTACATAATGTTCAAAATCAACAGTTATAGGTTAATCTATATCTGGCTAAATACAAGCATACCTTTGTAACTTTAGTTTGTTAGTTATTAATTATGTATTTAAATTTATTTGTTTTACATAATTCTAAACTTATTATATATTGAATTTGGATATAATATTTAGTATTACTATATAATGAATAAATTGTTAAAATTCAGTATAGATATTATTAAATTTTCTCATATAATGAATTTTAACTTCCAAAAATGAAGATTCATTATAGTGAGGTTTAACTGTATTATCATATGATCGAAATAATATGCCTTGGGTTTATAACTTTATTAATCTTTCGATTAAACTCAAAAACTAATGCAATAATCTAAGAGAAAAAGCATATCACTTCTTAATGAGAGAGCTCTTTAATATGAAGGTATTTTGTGATGTATCTAATCAAGATGGACCTGTCTTCAAAGCAGAATATTATAAAAATAAAATAGATAATCACATAACTGATTTTATCATTCAAATGGGACAAAATAAAAAAGAATGGTTAAGCTATGAATCAGTTACGACATTACATCAAGTGATAATTACGGAAATAGTAGTAGATTTACTTAATGATGCTGAAAATAAAGGTCTTGAAATGTGTGAACAAATAATCATTTTCTAAAAAATGTTCTCTTAAAGTTATGTAAACTTATTTAGTAAAATTTTAGTGAACTTAATTTACCCAAAATCATATAGGTGGCTTAGAAATTAGTATTATGCAGTAAATACGTAGTCTCTGTACTTCTCCTATGATTTAACTACGCCTTATACTATTTTTTGCAGTATTTTTATTTTTAAATGTGTTATTTTTGTAATAATAGCTGATCAACATAATACTATTTTTGTAATAATGAAGCCAGGTCAAGATCTTATGAAATGCCATCAGATATTTTTATGTTGACATACTAATGGATTTTTCCCAATATTCTGATATATTCTATCTCATTCATTATACAATTTGAATTACTAATAAAAATATATCCTGATTTATATGCAGATCATAAGATAGGAAGTCGTTAAAAAGAAATTCAAAAATATGAAATAGAACTGATTAGAATTTATGATTTATAGATCATCAGATAAGCAGTATATTTTTATTATTCTACTAACGTTAACGTATTCAAATTATGTGTATAGGTTAATTATATATTAATCCATTTTTGAATAGGAATTAGTTATACATGTGCAGTTTGTTATCTACAGACCTCGATCCATTTTATTTTATATTTCTTTTTATGATTATAATTAAAATAGGGATTCTGAACTCAACCAAAGATGTTCATATGTGATCTTTTGTTTTGCAAAAGATCTTAGAAATAAATGAAAAATTTTAAGACATAGCCTTGCTCTGTTAGTATCACATTAAGTTGTTATAAAATTGTAATTTTTCAGATTTTCTTTTAAACGCTATTATTGCAATTCAGGAAGAAACATTTATTATTATTAGATGGGATCCAAGCCGTTATTATTGCTTTAGCTGAAAAAGAATATAATTATGAAAAATGTAGTTATGACAACTATATATAATAAAGCAATATGATTTCTATTAAATTGGATTAAAGTCTCTTTTCGCGCGTAGTAAGGATACAGTATAAAATAAATCATTTTCTCAGCATATTTACGCAAGAGAATTGCATATTAAAAAAAATCAATCATTAATATCTAAAAAACTTAATCTACTAATAAAATCTCTTAATAAAATTACTACATATCAATTTACCTAATCATGTTCAGTTTGTTATTGCTCAATTCTATAGGGGTCATGCCTTTTTTGATCTTAACCACTGTTTTTTTGTTTATTAGTCTAGTGTTATTCATATATATCGCTATCATATGATCAAATCTCAAACAAAAAATTTCTGATGAACTTTCTGCATATGTTACTAAAATCATCAATGAACTTGATACAAAAATAATACACTGGAAATTGAAAATATCTTTAATAAACTTATCACTGAAATTAATATTAAAATCACCGATAAACTTTCTGCACGTCTTTCTAAAGTAATTTTTCTTCACTGTGAAGTTCAGTGAAAATAATAATAAAATTTATTACAAAAATCGCTAAAATCAATTCACGTGATGCTGACTACATTTCTAAGACACAGAAAATTTTATCAATGGTCGATAATATGATCATAAGACTCAAAAGCTTACTATAATGATTTTGGCAACATTTCATCTGAATTCACTTTGATCAAGACCTCTATTGAAGCTTTCCAAAATGAAATGATCCAACATTATGCAATTGTCCAAGGTTTCATTATTCCAAGGCTTCATTATTCCTTTAGTAATAAAAGTTCTTCTAGTCAATTATCTGATTCAGCTCTTAAAGAAAAGAAAATAGGAGTTATTTTAAGTGAGTTTTTAATTTGAACAAAGAAGTGGGAATACTATGGATTATACGTTTGAAATTGTTAGATGTGAAATTCATGAACTTTCTGGAAAAAAGATTGGGAAGGGTACTTTTATTATGGTAAAGGGGATCCAAAATTTAATACAGTAATGTCAATTATGAGATGGGTAGATAAAAAGAAATTACTAATAGTTTAGCAGAGTAGTGGAAAAGGAACTGCCAATATATGAGTTAGGGCTCAGCAGGCTTAACAAGCAGGCATGTTCTTTATGCCTTTCCTCCCTTGAAACAACCTGCTACTCTATTATTTTTTACTTTCATTCTTTCTTAGCCGGCCGGCCCTTTCTCATTTATTACTTTACGAAAAAAAAATATAATAAAGATTTTACTTCGAATTTTTTAAACATATGCGTGTTTTATGTGTATATAAATTCAAATATAAATTTTGTGTTCGCTTATCAATGAAAAATAATTTGCTCATATCTGGCTTGTAATAAAAAATTAAGCATCAAACTTTTTAAAAATGAAAGAGCAAAGAAATAACGATGCTGGGACTCGCGATCTTTGATAGAATCATACATTTCATTTATTTCATTTTGCTATTTCTGATATTTTTAATAAAGTTTGTGTGGTATTGGAAAAAATTATGTATATTTGAGAATCAAAGAATCGCATGAGTAATAATAAATATATATTTTCGATGATGTATAATCAGATGTATATAATCAAATATTTCACTATGACTAATGATATAATGATATTAGATCTATCGACTGATGATACGATGTTGAGTTCGAACTTACAAAACGCGTTCTCAATTAGTAATCAATGAAGTTTAATAAAGTTTATTCAGACTTATAACGCGTTCACATAATTGATGAAAGTTTAATAAAAGTTTATTCTAAATCATATATAAAACCTTTCATTTTTCTTTTAAAAGTCTCATCGGTTCTTTTTTAATATTTATTTCTTAATTTGTTAAAATAAAAAAAAAATGTCTAATGAAAGTTCTATCTTTACGATTATTAACAAGCTTCCTTTTACTATTGAAGAAAAAACAGACCTACGCATTTTCTTTATTGATTATGACCCAACTAGAGTAGAAAATGTTCTTTCAACGATTATAAGTGATGAAGAGAAAACTGAACTCTTGAGGAAATATCTCAAATCGAAAAGTAAGCCTCTGCGCCATAATGATTGGTCATGTCATTAACTAACTTAGCCTTTTTTTTTGATAATCTAACCCAATTTAGATGAACATCAAGGTAAGCCTTTGCGTCATAATGATTGGTCAATACAAACATGACTCGCTAACCTTTTATATCATTTTTGAATCTATTTTTATACAGACGAAGACGCAAACAGATTTTGGAATGCCCTAAAGGACCAAAATGTTGAACGCGGAGAATTCCTCAAACTGCCTGAGGGCATCCATTTTTTAGGAGACAAAGACGAAATTTCAACTTTGTACATCCGTAATTGCTACCGCAATTTGGCAAAGATCGCATTTAATAAGAAAACTAAAAAAAGACTACGTATCAGCGGTAATCCGGGTGTTGGGAAGACTCTGTTCGGCTATTATCTGCTTTATTTACTTTCGCAAAAAAATATAGTAACTATATACGATCACCATGCTTCGAAAACTGTAATTATCTTTGATAAGAATAATGTCTTTCGTACTTCCAGCATAAAAGTTATTGAATCATACCAGAAAAACTCAGATGCGTGGTATATTATTGATGGCAAGATACCGGTTAAAGCTAATGCCAGGACAGTTCTTTTATGTTCACCTAGAAAGGATCTCTATAGAGAATTTGACAAGTTTGGACATAACACAATACGGATCATGCCAGTTTGGAATCGAAAAGAGATCGATTACTGCAGAAATAAAATTTTTTATAATGTTGAGAGGGAAACAGTTGAAAACTTGTTTATGAGATGGGGAGGAGTTCCTCGGTTCGTCTTAGAACAGACTGATGAAAGTTGTCTTCAAGACCAGCTTGATAAAGCGATTAAAAAATGTAATATGGATATATTTAATTATATCGGTGACTCAACAGATACAGATGAAATGAGCCACAAGCTCGTACACATCTATACAAATCTCCCATTTGTAAAGGACGAAAATGAAATGGATTTAGATACTAATTCTAGTGATATCATGTTGGATCGAGATGGTGATGAACCCTATACAAAAGAAATCATAAGATTTGCCTCTGACTATGTTAAGAGAGAAGTGACTGAGAAGCTTGAAGATCAAATAAGGAACAGATTGCGTATTGAGACAAATTTAAGCTTAAAGGCAGGAATTAGTAATTCGTTATTGGGCATGTCATTTGAACAGATTGCTCATTGGATGCTACGAGAGGGGGGAATTTTCAAAACCCATTCTTTAGAACTCAATGGTGTAAAGGAAGACCTCCTTATTGACAGGCAGGGTGAAATATTCGAGTTTTTTGAAAGTGATATTAGCGTGATCAAAGATGAAAAGTACTACAAACCTGTAGAACAAAACTTTCCTTCGATCGACGCTATTATTGCTCCCAACAAACTTTTTCAGATGACAATAGCCAAAATTCACCCTATCAAAATGAATGGTTTGAAAATGCTGCAGGATAAGTTAGGGGGGGATAATGCGTCAGAAAATATCAAATTCTATTTTGTCGTACCAGAACACTTGTACGATAATTATGGAAAGCAAAATTTTCATACATCCGACGATACTCTTGCCAAAGATATACCACTTTGGATCCAATTTCGTGTTAATCAATATGCATTAAAAATAGTTGTGTAACTATTGACAGATCTAGTAATGATACACCTTTATATTAATACATAGTTACAATACTGGGAGATACATTATGGTTTGTGGAATATATATTAAGTAAAGCGTATTAAAATAATTAATTGATTTGTTTATATAAAACCAATAAAAATTTCGTAATTTCACTTCATGCGAGGTTTAAAATGTCTACACTATAATTATGTATCAGATTAATTATAATTTGTGATAAGCATTGCCAAATAATCATGCCTGTCCATTTATATTATTCATATATCACTTTGCTTTCCTGCTCATAAAGATGGCCAAAAGGCGGAGCAACTGAAAACTTTTGCTAATGTTGACGCCGAGATGCATGATATTCTTCTGTTATATTTTCATCATCTATTAATTGGATTGTTTTTTTATGCTTTCCTTTAGAAGATGATTATGTTGAAGCCAACAATTTGCCCAGTATTGAATTGATCTTGCTTTATATACACAATCAATAAACATTAACTACGTGGCTTCTTTGCTAGCTTTCATTCATTTTCATCTAATTTCATATACAACACATTTTCTATTATATTCAGTTGCTGTCAAAATCTTATACTGTTTTCTAAGTTTAATCTTTAAATTTTCGATCCTTTCACTTAGATTTTGTTCCTCATCATCATCTGTATCATCCAAAACTTGTTATTTTCATGGTTTTTTTTGCAGCTTTTGTAAAGGAACTGCTTAATCCATACTTTTCAAAATATGTTGATTTTTCATTTTTTCAGTAAGATATGAACGACGTTTTTTTGTTAAAATCTGACCAAGTTAACTCAAGAGGTTGAGCTTTTTTTTTTCATTTAACAAATTGATTTCATCATTTTTGTTTTCCCATTCATCCGTTTTATTAATTAGCCTTAGTTTTTTTGCAAACTTCCTATTATTATCTCGTTCTTGCTTTTTTTCGCTTAGATAGACGAGTCATGATTAATGCGTGGGAAATTAATTGAAATTAGCACATAATATTCCATTATTTTATCAGGTTTAATTTGTATTTTATTACTTAATTTCTGACTTATAAAAATTAAATCACCTGATATTATTGTGGTTTATAAATCAGCATTTTTTTTATTTTTTTCAGCATCACGATAAATACGTTACATTATATTCACCGCTTTTTATAAATGTGCATAAAACTGGAAATTTTTTCGTGATCCAAAACTTTCTTGCAAATATAAAATAAAAATGGTATATAATATCAGATATACAGGTACATATCAAAGAATGCACAATTAAAATATTTGACTTGTTAATGATAATAAGAGAAGCGTAAATATACATTTATGCTATCCAATCTAAATACATCAAATCCAAACCTAATAAATGAACCAACCCCAATTTAATGAATCAATTTCTTTACTTGTGATAAATCTGGAAATTTACGCACAAAAGACATTTGTTCAGTTGGTATAGTATTTCTACTACATTCTATATTTAAAATTCATTGCAATCCGTTCAATGTGCTCCTGCCATTGTAAAAGACAAATGAAATTAAGTAAAATTTCTCATTATAAATAAGAAAATGTGACATATACCTCTAAAGATAACAAATGATAGATCGCAACTCCAGCAAGCAGAATCATAGTCTTGTCAACTATCAGTCTAGTAATGAGAAATGGTATAAACCGTCATGCTTAAGATCCATAAAGTAAAATTCCATTAAGTCACCTAATTATTACAGAAGATAAATCAATTATATAAAAATAAATTCTCATGCAATCTCTCACCTACCTATATTTAAAAATATTACGGCTTCGCCCGGACCTTCCTTACTTTGTAATTGCTGATTAATGGATTTCTGAGTCTTTAATTGCACCTTCAGTCTGTCCTTCATTCGTTGTGGTGTACTTCCCAAAGGTTTAAATTCCGAATTCAAAATCGTACACCATTTATCACATATTAAAGGTCTGGTCTTTTTTTAGAATCTGAATTAGAATGGTTCAATACTAGATCGTATTCTTTTTTACTAATGAAAAATGAACAAGTAATTGGATAGACAAAATATAAACAATATTCTTCTTCGGACAATTTTAACGGAACAATCTTCATAACACTATCATATCTACAACGTAAAAAAATTATATAAGCTACAATCTCATGTATATATTATAAACTTATGTTACATACATACAAATCATTAAATTGATCGTGCAACTAATCTACTTAGTTTTGAGTTTCCACTTTCCATAAATGCGTCTTTTTCAAGAAAATGATTAAACGATGCTTCATTAAGAGATGACAAAATGTCTGGTGAAAGTAACGATTCTTGAACAATATAAGGATTATTTTTTTTAACTTCTTTTCACTCCTGAATAGTGAATAAGAAGGGATACGGACATGGCCAGGAGAGGACAATAATCGATGATAAAGCTCTAAGTATAATAAGAAAGATGTCAGTAAAAATCGCTATATCAATCAAATGTTCTATACATACAATAGTTTGTATATATTTTCGTATTTCAACCCTTCTATTTCTGTCTTCTTAACAATCTCTTTCTGGTATTGCCAAAACTGATCAGATACATTGATGTGACCAATTTCCCACTAAAAAAAAATGGAATAAACTGTAAGGTATATGTAGTAAAAGAATCAAAATTTAATGTGTCATATTTTAACTATCGATTCACGTTATAATTCAGTTGAAATACTTGTTAGTAATGTTGTTGCTATCCGAAACTAATAAGTTTTAAAACTAACGAAACTCAAAACTATTAAAACTAGTTTTGAAAATTTTCCAA